GAGAATTGAATTATGGGGTATGAGATGTGTTGATACAATTTTCTTTGGGCTGATCTTGTATTAGCTGGGAGTGTATCAAATTATTTGTTTACTTTTTGAAGCACATCACACCTGTATCCTTTTTGTTCATGTCTGTATGATTGGTCCTTTTGCAGTAGCAAAGTAAGGTCTCCTAGAATATAAAAATTGTATTTGTCAACTCTTGTCAATATTTTCAGTGTGGTTTAGTTTATTTTTGTTCATCATAAAGTTCCAGAGCTATTTTGGTATCTGAAGGAAATTTTTAAAATTTCCTCTGTGAATAATGTCTGGACAACTCGAATACTAGACTTCCAAAGACATTGGAAAGTGGTGCATGTCACAATTGTAGGTGATAAATATATCCTGTATTTCATGAAGGTTTTTACTTTAAAGCTGTTCAATTGTTGTAATATGGAATTGGAGATAATGAGAAATATCAAGATTTGTTACAAACCCAGTTGTTAGTGTAGCAGTTTTCTGAGCTTGGGCTCATGTTATCTTCTTCCTTTCACACTGTATGTTTTTTTCAGTTTTATGCCAAGTACCAGTTTTGCTGTTGAACAGTGAGAAGGTTTCACCCTTGTACGCATCCTGACTAATCTGGTTTGTTATGGTAAAATAAGACTGAAGTGATTGTCTGCCAGTTCATGGAGCAGCTGCTACTTAGGTGTTCAGATCATTAATTAGGTGCTTGACTGAAATTTGAAGTTTGGATATTGAATTGCTGTACTGAGCTGGCTGCTACCATCCTCCTTCCAATACCAAAGTGTTGGTCTTCTTTCCGTATTGTCTACTGTACTGTATTATTGCATGATTTATGGAGTAAGAAGTTAGTTATCTGCTCTAGAATGCCTTCCAGCTGTAGCTTCCAGTGATTTGTTGGTTTTCCACTATGATGGTAGGAAAGGAACCTTTATGAAATTTCTATTATTTCTGGAACAATGCTCAGGGTATTCTAATTACTACACCCTTGTCTCTAAAACTGCTGCAGTTTCTGGTACACTATAAACATAAAAGTTAAAAAGGCTGTTGGTAGTTCTTTCAGTACTGGATTATAACATACACTAGAATGCTGGAGATTATAGAGGCATGTAAGTGAATGTTGCATGTTCTTGTGTCTGCATTCCAATGGCACGTGTCCTCAAAGATAACTTAAGCTAACATTCCAAGTCTGATGTAGATAACTGCAGACAATATGCTAATACCGTTCTTTGTATCACTGGAATAATATAAATTGAAGGCAACTGATAAGAAATTGAACAAACTATCTTGAAATGTCTATCTTAATTTTAATGTGTTCCTATGAAAATATTTTTAGAGAGATTTCCCCTGCTCCCTTCTACATGTTTAAAAAGGAATTTTCTAGAAGTACAGTAATTGTCTAACCCATTTAATATCTGAGTATCTTCTTCTAAATAGGAAAAGATAAGCAATGTGTGGAGTACTATCAAAATGAAATTTTTGTTATATACCTTCCACCTGTAATAGTGATTTTGGGTGTGACTTTTAACTTCAGAAGTATAATATAAGACGGCTGATATGGTCTTGGCTCTGTTATTTCAGTAAATACAGAAGAAAATGTATCTGCAAATCCCTGTGTGTTAAGAGGGAAGGACTTCTACTTTAAAAGGAATGGAACAAGTGTTAGAAATGAGCTTCGTGTTCCTAGCTTAAATGTGTACTTAAGTTCTTGCACATACATTTGGCTAGAATTTGTGCTATGTGTCTCATCTGATTATGTGTGATCAGCCAAAGATAGCACACTGCTGCAGCCTGTGTGCAAAGTGGCACCTGCATATGTCTGGCGAAAAAGTTTTGCAAAATTGCTTTCAGAGATTTGGCCTCTCAACTGGTCAGATTACTGTTCAGAGCTCTAGCACTCATCAGAAACCTTTTATTTATTAAAGAGACCATTTATTAAGAAATCTGCATGGGTGGATTTAGATGATTGGAACATTAGGCCCCTTCAGCCTTTCACACCAAAAATTTCTTCTCCTTTGGAGCTCAATTTTGCCTTCATATATGTTCATACCATAGTTACAGTTTTGAGACTTCCCTTAGCTGCAATTTACCAGGGAGAGGTAAGTTGCTCCTTCGTTCTGTCAAACGATACAAAGATCTGAGATTGTGATTCTGGTCAGAATAATAACCTTCTGCTTTAAAAGTGTAATCAAGTGTATACTTGTTGAAAATAAGTCATTAACTTTTTCTGTAAGAGCCATTTGGAACTCGTCCAGCTTCCTGGGAAGGTCTGGTGAGGTTTTAATTTTTTTAACTGGGAGAGGTTTCCCATCTTCCTCACCACATCCAGCTAGCCTGTTCTGGCCTGCTTTAGAAACCTGGGCCAGACTTGAAGAGACATTAGCTAGAGGCGTTTATAAGCCGTGCATACTTCGTGAGCTCTTGATGTAATTGCCGAGATGAATCACCTTTGTCCATCCCCAGTGTATGAATGGATTTCTTCCCTTTTTCATTCCAGTGAAAGCAATGGATATCAAGCCTTATAATTTGTTCCTAGTAATTGAAATGAGGACCAAATTCCTATTCTGGTAATAAAGTTTTTGGCTATTGCAATTTAATCATCATTCTGATTATCTTATTTTTCACATAGATACTTTCTTGAATTATTGAGTGGTTTAGGAACAACACTGATAGTAACGATGTGCAATGAATAACGTTGCACATCTTATATGATGTAAAAAAATGTAGATTAGGTTGGTATCAGTAGGGGCAGAGCAGAGTTTCTGGAATTCAGACATATTGCAAATAGAGAATCTATCTGTATTTTAAACTACATAGTTTGGGGAAAAGTTTGATTCTAAGAGATGCTGAACATATTATAGAAACGTTCAGTCTTTGATAAATTACTCTTCAGATAAATGGGAACTTTGCACTGCTCTGTAGTGATATTTTTTGCTATATGAGGCTCTGAATTGGAGATATAGCTGCTTCCTAAGGGCAAACAAAATAAAAAGAATCAGTTGAGGTGTTCTCAGGAAAGGAAGTTGCTGGCTGTACTCAGACTAAGTTCTGCTGCGGGACATAATCTTATTATTGGCCTTGGGGGAAGTTGTTTTCTTTGGTCAAAACTTAACTCATACATTTTTCTCACTGAATTGATTTGTAATCCTTCCATAAAGGGAAGTTTGTCCAAATGTGGCATTTCTGTTATTAGATTGGAAAAAGCAAGAAACAAAATCTTTATTGTGTATTTACCTACAGTAGACTTAAAATGCAAACCATTCTGGGAGCCTGTTTATAAGGCTTGAAGTTACATTTCTTTTGCTTAACCAAATGGCCAAAATGCTGCCAGCAGTATGTCTGGAATGTTATTTACTTGGCCCATTTCCATGTTTTTTCTTTGTAGTGCCATACACATGCTACAGTTAGGGGTCATTTACTTACAACTGACCAAAGTAGTACTCCCAGAGCTGTGGTTATTCTCACCAGTGGCTTTATAAAAAAGGTTCATCATGTTCTGCAGCTTCTGTGCTCACGTTTTCCCTCCCTCCCCTCCATCCCTCCTGCTTTTGGTGAAGATCTGGAGAGCTGCTGTTTTTTTCTTGCTTTGTTCTCTGTGACTTGATTCCCCTATTAGTGCTTTAATTTTTTACATTGCTTCTTACAGTGCTGACCTATTGAAATGTATTAACTTGCTTTGCTGGATGACTATCATTTTTTTATAAGATGGTTGAGTGTTTTTCCATTTAACTGTGTATCCTATTTTACGGTGTCAGTTCCAGATATTCAACTGGTTGCAAGAAAACTGTGTTTTAACATTTCCAACAGAAGGGTAGGATGGGTGGGGAAGCTCTTTGGAATGCTGATGAATAATATTTGACTCTTGGAAATGTCCTAAGGCCATGTGCTCCCCTCCCATCCTTGGAAGGCTAGACTTAGTTTTTAAAGACCTGTGGTCTTGAAGGTATTACCATTGTGCTTTGTTTCCTTTCTACTGGCAGGATTTGAGGAAACAGTTGAAATGGATGCCAAGGGTTAGTGCAGGAATATACTGCAGATAGTGTTCTTGGTTTCTGCCCTTGCTACTCCAATCTGTGGCACTGTGCTTCATTAATCCCTTGCATGTTGGTCAGAGGGCTTAATTCTGCTACTTTCTTTCCTAGATGTACAAATTTTTAAAAATATGTAACTTTTGAGATGTTTATGTCTGTAATTTCTATAAGCATAGCAGAAATTGCCTTACAGTAGAACATGAATTAGGAACTGCAGTAACTTGACATTCAGTCTTAAGTGTTTTCAATAGCAGAACAATAATTCATAACCATTTTTTTTCCCCCCAATTTCTTCTTACAGTACTTGAGTCCAGAACAGAGTAGATAGAGATTTGGTTGTCCTCCCCTGTTGTGAAAATCAGATATTTAGTGACTGAGTCTCCTCCTCACTTCTGTGCTTGTGGTTAAGGATGTTCTCCTTCCTCTGCATCTGCAAAAATGATCAGCTCTTACAATCAGATGATATCCTTCTAGCTTGTTTGACGTTTTAAGAAGTGCATGTGCTTTACTATGACTCCTGTTGCTTTTGGATAGTGATTTGTTTTCTTTATAAAATGCTTCCTATAAAATTTCCAGCTTTGATCATTTAACTGATAAATACTTGCTGCCTATATTCACATCTGCTCATCTTTTATTATCCTGGCTTATATAAATGCTTCTATTGAAATAAATCAATCTTATAATTCGAAAAATACAAAACTCTGGTTTAAGTTTCTTCTTACAGCTAATAGTTGCTTGATGGTTGAATACATAACTGCTTGGCAGAATTTTAGTTTGATTCTCAGCCAACCAACAATTAAAGTATAACCTAGTTCCTGAAAATGCCCGAGCTATAAACTATCAGTCATGGTCTAGCATGCATATAGTAATAAGAGGCTGACAAGGCTAATAAAGCCTATATATTATGACCAGGCAATGCATGTTATAATGAGTCAATGTATTTTGTCATTCATTCCTATTATGCAGCCCACACATCATCTTCCTGTCACAGAGTGTATTACCAGGAGGGGGCCATCTCTGTGGAACACGCCTGTGCCATGAAATTGCTCATGCTTGGTTTGGACTGGCTATTGGTGCTTGTGATTGGACTGAAGAATGGTTAAGTGAAGGGTTTGCCACTTTTTTAGAAGATATATTTTGGGCTAAGGCACAACAGGTAAGGTGATGATGCATCACTTCTCAGTTGAATTATGTGGAAATCTAGATTCTGTACCCTGTGGTGAATTAGATATAAATTAAACCTCCTGTATTATGAAAATAAGTCTTTTAAAGTAATGTTGGAATTTGCATGCTAACTTGATTAAAAAAACCCCAAAACCAAACCAACATGAAAAATCCTTCCTGAGCCACAATGAACACTAATTTTTGCAGAGGTAGAGGTCAGTGCCAATGAGAATGGAAACATCTGTTTGTCAGTGATTACCTTCCCACAAATGTACTACTTAATTATTGAAACTCAGTTATCAAAGAGTTGCTCTGCATTCTTACCACTTGTATTGTGTTCCTGAAATTGGAACAATCAGCAGAGTCTTACTGAATACTGTAAGATTTCAGGTGCCTAATGAAAATGCTCCGGGTTTTTCCAGTGGATAGCCAAGAAGTATACCTCAAACCAAAATGGAAGCTGATGAAGATAGCACCAGCACGTAGAGTTTTTCTTGTCTTACACTGCTCAGTAAGAGCTACCCTCATGTCAGAGGCTTATAAATCATGGTCTGCCTTAAAATGAAAAGTTCATAAATTGCATGTCAGCAAGTAAAGGGTTTTCTGATCCAATTCTTAGTTTTGTTGTACCTCTGCTACTTCAAGCACTTTGTGTGTTATCCATTTCTTACTGTGCTTGTGCAGAGTTCCATGTGTGGATGAGCAGGTGGGACTTGGAATTGACATCATACACTCTTCCAAGACTTCTTTTTTGTTAAGTATCAGGCATATTTAGAGTAACAAACAAAATAGAATTCTTTGCCACTTACCATGTTTCTGGAACAAGAAAGAGAAGAAGGCTGCCCAGATACTTCTCTTTTCCCTTCTGGTCCTAAAACTCATTTCTGCCCTTATGTTGACCATCACCCCTCTGCTGTGAGCTGTTCACATTAATTCTATGCTTTTGTGAGACACTTGAAAGCTTTTCCTACAATTGTAGGATTATGAGTATATTCCATACTGCCTGACAGTAATTCCAGTGGCAACTGAAATATGGGTGTAATGCAGGATAACGTTAGCTGCTTTTGCTTTCTCCCATCTCCCATCTTTTCTTATAATAGAGAAGCATAAATTAGTTCTTATTTTTAAGATAACAACCTGGCATTTCTTTCATGAGCATGCATCTTTCTTAATATTATGTAAACGGGGAAAAGTACAACACACAGTTTTCACAAGTATTGCAGAAGTTGTAGGAAAGAGAAGTGAAGTCAGGTCACAAAACAGCTCTTTGCTTTCAAGGTGAGAAGAGTAAAAATACAGCCAATTTCGATATGCCAGGTATCTGTCCTGTGCATTCAGTTCACATTGCCAGCCACTAAAGGGAAAACAGCATGACCATCTCTCTCTTCAAGTAGAAATATTTAACCAACTATTCATTTGATGTGTCCAGTGAGGTTTCTGTTTTCCTTAGTGCAACTACTAACTCCCATATCACCAACTGTTATTTTTGTTTTTTGTTCTTTTGAAATCATGGATATTGGTACTGTTTCCTGCATCTTCTGCAGGTTAAAGGGAAATAAACCAAGCTTCTCTTTCTGATAATTCTTACTCTCTGTTGGGAAAGAGCAAAGAGTAATCTGTGTTTTTTATATACTAAGCAGCTGTCACATGATGAAGTAAAAGCGCAGCAGGAATTGAAAGCTTTACTTCGCTGGCGTCGACTCAGAGACGAGGTGCAGAACTCTGAAGAAGAGCTGCAAATTTTAAGGTAACAATATGATAGTGTGATCTTTGGTTTTGCATGTTCTCTCTCTCCTGTTTTCTGCTATTTTCTTCCTTCAAAGGATATACATCCAAATCATTTAATTAAATCAACTGCATTTCCTTATTTCCTTCTGAAGAAAAAAGAAAAGAAAAATTAAATTTACTAGGTTAGTCATCTTCTGTATAATGCAATTGCTCTTCTCTTTGTTATAGGAAGCATTCAAGAACCATGGGATTTAGTTTGATACAAAATGTCTCTAAGCAGTTTAGAAGAGCCTCTATTCAGGGGAAAAAAAAAAAGGTCCATTTCCTGAACAAAGTTCACTGTTTGCAGCCGTAACAGATTCATTTTCCATGGCTGAAGACAAGCACATACAGGAGTATGGTATCTAACTGCCAATCTGAATGAAGCTTTAAAAAAAACAAGGGAAGAAGCACAATGAACTGTATTAATCTACTTTCTCTTTAGAAATTACTAACAGTGCTATTTAAACAAGATTTCGGTCTTTAGGTATCAGATGCTAGGCTCAGGGCTTCTTATACATAGCTGAAGACATTAGGTCAGAAAAAGATTCTTGCTTTGCTAATGATTAATAATTTGGGCTATTCTGGTGTCTTGGGAATTTGCCATAGCCTTTTACCTTGAGTGGCTACCTAACATCTCCAATGCTTGTCTCCCCACAGTTTTTGACCAAGAAAAACAAGTTTATTAATCCTAGCTCAAATTATCCTTGCATTGACTAAATCACAGAAGTACTGGGACAGATTTCAAGAAATTATGTAGACCATACTCCTATCCTGAAACACAGGCAGTATACACAGACCATTTTAAGCAAGTTTTTACTAACATATTCTTAGAAACCTCCAGTTAAAAATGTTTCATGGTACCTAGATAAGCTGTTTTAGTTAAAATGCTTCCTGAGGCACAGTTGAAATATCATTTATTTCAAATATAGATACTTCATTTGTTTCACCAAGTGGAAGCAAAGAACAAATTGATCCTTATCTTCTATATAATAATCTTTTAAATGTTTTTGGAAGACTGTTGCTATCCATTCATTTTGACGTCTTCCTTTTTTGTGCTTTCCCGTTGCTATCCATTCATTTTGACGTCTTCCTTTTTTGTGCTTTCCCAGTAGGATCTAAAATGTTTTTATATTTGAGCACTAGATACTGTTCACCAATGCAGGAATTCCTCTGTGGCTTCGTGTAATCTGAAAAGAATGTCACCAACTGCATAACTGTAGTCTTTCTTTGATCTGTTTTACTTTATTGATGAATTTTCTATCCTACACGTAAGCAGAGCCAGTGAAGTTACACATTTGCAAGCATGCAATCTGATGACAGGTATAAATACAAAAGCAAGCTTTATCGCTAGCTGTCATACAGCTACTGCCAACACAATACTGATAGATTGCTGGGAGTTTTGTTTGTGTTAAAATACACTATTTTTAGGAACATTAGCTCTTGTCATATGAGGCTTACCTGGATATATGTTTTCCGTTTAAACACTATGGAATAACATTTGTCATCTTTTGTGTTAATTATGTAGTTGTTACTTTTAATAAAATGTGTATTTTTTTATCTTTTTGTAGTTTGAAACTCAGGAATGATTGATACATCTTGTAATTGGAACTTAATCTTTCTGACTTCCACAGTTAGTAGACATAAATCTCTGTAATAAGCATGCTTTTGCATAGTAGTATTCTCAATGCTAATGCAAAAGAATGACAAATCATTTCTCACTTGAAAAATATGCCTCTAGTATACACTTCAGGAAAGGAACATGATGCCTGCTTGGGATTCTGGCAAACTCTTCTTCTGATGTCTCTAGTTTCCTGTGGTTGCATTTAAGGATTTTTCCACTAGTTTCAGTCAGATATAAATATTCTCTACTATTTTTGTGTCATGGACTTGAATAGGTTCTCTCTTTGTGTGTTTACTTTTTACTTTTCTTCCTTCTGAAAGCATGTCCATGTGCTTTCTAGACTCGGTATGTAAGAGAGAAAATGTCAGTCTTGGCATTGCACTGGGTTTTGAGTCTGTACTGAGGCCTGTGCTCGTTCAAGCTTGTCTTTTTATAGAAGGATATTAGAAGTAAATGATAACTGCTTGTTATTTCTTGCCAGTTATGTCAGGAAGAAAAAAATGAGCCAACCCACTCTTCCCAATCATAAGCTTATTCTTCAATTACTTTTTGTTCCTTGCTGGGCAATCATATGATTTTCTGTGCTTTCTCCTGACAGCAGGAAAATCCTGCCCAAAACTTGTTAGCTGATCCTATTAAGTTTTGATCCATCAAATGAATACCTGTTCAGACTAGGTGAAAGCCACTCAGCAAGCTGATCAAACTGATCATCAGTATGATGTCTCTTCATGTTATGGATATTTGATATTATGTTATGGTAGCATCTCATAAGCTACCTGCAGAAAGATAAAGTCAGGTATGAAAGAAATAGGTAAATGTCTTTTTGGAAGGCAGCAGTTCTAAAAGACAGTACCAGCAAATCTTAGTATTGAAGAAGGAATTTGAGGCACTGTAGTGCTTATGCAAGCTAAGATTTCAGATGGAATCCTGTGTATTTTCTCAGTTTGAAGCAAACCTTCATGGATAAAAGCACCTGTGAAATATGTCCTGGCACTCATTCTGCTAGCAAGCATCAACACCAGCACTATCATGCAGTCTCTCATGTTAGAAAAGCAAAGAACATTAGAGAAGTCCATTTCTTTCTGTGGAATAAAGCTGGTGCTGAGGTTGTTTCATGTCCTGGTGCTTATGACTGAACTCCAACTTGTGATTCTTCATTAAGACAAATCAGTGTTGATATTCAACTCCAAATTTATCTCTGACTTGAGTCAAGTCCATTTCCATCTTAAAGCAATGCTCTCTGACTGCTCTGTAGGTTTTTAAAGAGTTTTATTCTATCACACTGATAGGAAATGTGCCTTTCAGATGGTCTCTTCATAGGTTTTCATGGTTACTTAAGCACACAAGAGCATTTAATTACCAAGGACTTCCTGGTGAATTGTCCTTTTATGTTGTACAGTGTACTCTCCACCCAGGAAAAAAAAAGGCAGTATCTTTTGCTTCCTTCAGAAATTTGCCAGTATCTGAAATGTGCCAGGTAGCAGTTTGAACACCTTAAATCAACTTGCATTTAGCATTATGCCTAGCTTCATCTATTAGGTTAAATGCCAGGTTTTGTAGGTCAGAGTAACAAACTTTCAGTCTCTCTACCTTCAATGTGTTGTAAATATATTAAGCATTGCTTTAAAGTAATGTACTGACAGCAGAGGACAGGGTAACTTTCTGGATATTTACACTCTTTTTGCAGACATTATCAGGGATATATATACATCCTTTGCAGAAGGAATTTCCTCAGTACCATCGTCCAGATGTGATATTGCTTTCTGGTCACCTACTAGGATCTACAAAGGCACAAAGTTGGAGGAGGAAGGAAGGATGTATGGTTGCCTAATTTAGAATAATTGTGATTATGGGAGGTATGTCAGTTTAGTGTGTAGCCTGTGCTCAAACTCCATTTTACAAAGTCTATAAACTGGGCTATTTATTACGAGATAAATGAAGCAGTTTTGGCTTTTTATATGTGCAGAAAACAATGAAAAGTTGCATTTGGAATGGCAGCAGGCCTTACTTCCAGGAGACTGATCCAGAATGGAAATAGGTGGACCTCTGCTTTCCTACAGTGGGTCTGCAATGATTACATTGTCTTGAACTGGTGTTTCAATGCTGAAGGAAAATCTTTCTTGAAAGGAAATATGAACCATAGCACGGTAAAGGACTGTGTTGGGAACAGTGTAAAATCAAATCTGCATTTGTTTTTCTATTTTATCTCAAAAAGTTCTATTTTAAGAAGATTTTATTGTGTGGATTTCACATGCACAGGTCCTAAATATAGCACACGAAGTGTGAAGAAAAAAAAGCTTAGCACTCTGGACAAAACTCTGATAAACCAATGCATAGATACAAAAGAGGAACAGATGTTTTCTTCAAAGCAAACATAGATAGGAAGGTAATTTGATCACAGGTATTGGCTCATGAGAAGCATAACAGTGATGTGGTTTGAGGAATACTGCGCTGATGTGGCCTATGTTGTCCCTGTTCTGTAGAAGTGGAGAGAAAGATGTTTGGTTACCAAGACTGGCTGTTTCAAAATCCATGCCTAGAATTGGAGAGGTTGTTTCACAAGGTTAGGCTTCTAAACCAGACATCTGTTCTCAGACCACTGTTAGTTGAGATGTTTTCTGGATGGAAGAAAAAAAGCTAGAGGGCTCTTATATACTATGCCTGTGGAGGCAATGCATACAAACGAAGAAAAAATGTTAGTATAGCTTCTCTTTAGTTTTTACTCTGTGCTCACAAGAGCATAGAGGAGTTCTCCACACCTTACTGATGTAGATTTGTGGTATACCAGATGCTGTATTTTAAAATCAGGCAATGAAGTAGGTTTGTTCCAGACATTATTGTCTGTAAACCCCAAACCTGTGTGTGTAAGACTTCCTGATTTAAAACTTTGACTATATTTCTTGCAACCCCAAACAGCAAAATGAAAAACAGAACATTATTTATTCTGCACTGTATTGCATGCAGATGAAAGAGGTTATTCTTGCAAGTGTATAGTCATGTAAGCTCTTAAGCAAATATTCGTGTATAAGAGAAATCTCTAGTTGAACGTAATTATTTCAATATTCCTTTCCCAAGAAAAGGTTGTCTTTTGTTTGTTTCTCTTTGTTCATACTGTGTCTTCACCTTAGAATGGCATGCAACCTATGTCATGCTGGCAGTGGAAAAAGTACACCAAGTTAGTGATGCCTTTCAGCTGCACCCCAGCTGTCTGGTCAGCTATGTACAAAATTGCATTACAAGGATGAAATTAATTTGTTTCTCTGTCCAAGCCAAGTTAATTACTTAGGGTAAAGAAAAAGACTGAGCTAGTCACAGGTGTCTAATATTACTATGCCATTCATTATGCTTTCAACTATGAGAATGTGTAATGTATGAATTCTTTACTTACTTATCCAAGACTTAATTAGTGTGTTAACATTTTAGGCCCAAAAAGGAGAGCACAGGAGAATTGAGTGAGTCTGGAGCATCTGTTGTCAAACATGGTCTTAAAGCAGAAAAAATCTTCATGCAGGTTCACTATTTGAAGGTGAGCATTGTCAACTGATTTTTTATTGAAATTGCTGTATTAATATGATAAATAATTCTTTATTCTAAACATCAGCAAATTCATAGCATCCTATTTGTTTCTGGCTTAATTTCCGGCAGGGTTATTTCCTTTTGCGGTCTCTGGCAAGGACAACAGGAGAGGCTTCATACCTTGCATCTTTACGAAAATTTGTCCATAAGTTCCATGGGCAGCTTGTCCTTTCTCAGGTACTGTGCTTGGGATTGTTCCTTATTTTCTGAAAAAACAAATGACCTAAACTTTCTGTTTGACTATCTAAATCACCACTTCTGCTTGTGGTAAAGAGAGAGGTCATTCTAACCTGGCAATGTTGGTGAAATTCCTACCTGCTAGAGGGCAGAACATTTTTTTTATCAGGGTGATACATAAATAAGACACCTGTTAGTATCTGATAATGTAAACAATGGGGTGTTTTGGTTTTGTTTGTTTTTAAACTTGATGCTCTGAGAAGTCAATAGTCATAGGTGACGATGTTCTTAAGATAGGTTCATTTACTGTACTGGAATTGTCTCCTGCAGTCTTTTAGCTCATGAGTTTTGGTTGTGATCAGTCAGTCCTTTCCATTATACCTCTCTGTTTCTGATAGAGAAGAAACACAAAGTAGTAATGTAACCAAAAACTTCTATAAATTGTAACAGTGCATGCATAATTATGTATTACAGCCTCTGTATAGGTTTCCTCATCATGGTCCATACTCTCATGCTTTCTAAAGCATTCGGTCACTGAAGTATTAATCTACAAGGGATGTTTAAGATGTGCTGCTTCTTTCTTTCTATAGACTGTCTCCTTACAACTCAGAGTAAGGGCCTTTGATTTTGAGGGAATGGGATCTAACACTTTCCTGTTTATTCCAGCCATGGTGTTTCTTTGCTCATGTACTTGCTGTTCTGAATCTCACTCTTACGGGCATGCCCATGTATCTTACATATAGCTCACAGACCTGTAGATTCTTTTATATATCAAGTCACCCAGAAGTTAGGCATAGTAGCTCTACTGCAGCAGCTCTGCCCTGTGAAAGAATGCTTTGGGTGTTAAGGGGGTTAATGTTTCTTTCCACTGATGCAGTTGTTTTCTGTACCATATTACTGAAACCCCGAGAAGTTATGTTTGGCATATTGTGGAAAATACCAGTGACTATGAGCCTTGTCTACACTGTGGTGTCCAAAATCATAAATATGATGCTTCACTATTACACAGCTGGAAACTTTTTGATAATTACATAAATCAGGAAACTGCTAAAACCAAGAAGCAGACCAAGCGTTTTACCCTGGTGGTAAGAAAGGTGCTCACATTTTGGTGAGGAAAAAGTTAGCTTGTTGCTCCTGGTTGATGTGAGATGAGGTGTGTCAGTAGACTGCTTAAATGCTGCAAAACATCCCAGCACATCATACTGTTAGTCACGGTAGCTAGATTGCACTGCAATTGAACTACCCACCTACTAGAGTCTTCCCTTGTCCAGCATTCTTCTATGAAATGTCAATTTGTAGCTTACCTAACACCAGTCTTATAAGATGAAATACTATATGTTGTTTCTGCACACAGAAACAACCATTCTGGTACTGGATAAAATTGTTTGGTGTTCTTAATTATTAAAGCAAGAGTGATGCTTTTATTTCAGATTTCTTACGCTGCTTTTTTTTTGAATATTTGCAATATGTCCATAGCTATGTGCTTAATGTAGGTAAAACAAAGACACTTCCCTTCATTTGAAGATACTTGATTTGGTGGAGAAAGATCTGTATACTATATAAACTTTTATTGTGTGCTTTTTGTGCTTTTACCTTGTTTCACAGCAGCCTAAATCCAGCTCCTGTTGCAGTTGCTGGGAAGAGAATTTTAACATCATCCTATTGTTTGGTCACTATGTTAAAAATGCAGAGGGGATAGGGCTACATCCAATTGTAAATACATTCACTTTCTTTGTAAGAAATCTTAAATATTTTATGTCTGGTATAGGTAAGCAAGCAATCACAGCAGGACTTGCAAATGAAGAAGCAATGAAGTCTAGTTAGTACAAAGTTATTTGAGTTCCTTCTTGAACAAACATGCTTTCAGTGTTTAAATGAAATAGAGGTCTAAAAACATAAATAATGGTCCAAATGGTAAGTTTAAATATCATAGTGTTGTACTTTCACCTTGTCCAAAATAATTGTAGAAGTTCCCAGCTTTAGGAATTGTGGGGACAAGGGAGAGTAAAAACAGTGAAAATAATTGCCCATGTTCTGAATACTAGTCTTGTTTTCAGTGGTGTTTGTAGTATTTTTGCCTAGATGAGAGCTGCAGGTGCAAGGAAATGACTTCAGATGTGAAACATTAATCAGTTTGCCTTTTTCCTTCTTTTTGATTGCGTGCTCAGTATGTTTTTAATAGTAGTTTTTGTTTATTTTAGTCAAGTTGTGACAGACGAGTAAAGCAAGTCTGGAATCTTTGAGAAGGATTAAAAAAAATTCCATTTTTCTTTTTGTGAGGGAATTCACTTACTAACTGCTTTGAATGAACTTTTTAAATAATAAACGAAGTATTACTGACTAAATAGAAAGGACTGCAAATTGCTGATATTCCTAACACAGTTAAAGCTGTATTTCTGTCTGCTATAAAAAAAGTTAAAGTTTGATATTGAAACAGGAGTACCTTGGGAATTCGAATTGCTTGCAGACTTTAATTTTCATGTATTTGTCTGCTATAATAATAACCTAGGGTCTGTAATGTTCATCCAACAGTTGTAATTTGCTATGGTAAAATGACAGTCAAGGAGGCAGTGCTTCAAAAAAAAATAATAATTTATTCTATTCTTAAAAGTTTTAAAGTCAGATGTATGGATCCAAGCCCACTGTGTATGTATCTATATCATGTTCCTGCACACCCAGTTTACATGGGCACATACCATTATCATCACTTCATAAAATTGGTGTCTGCACACACAAATTGCCATTCAACTATTTGCTTGTAGAACTCTTGTGACTAGAATTGGAAGTATAAGCATGCAGTGTGCATGTATTTTGATGTTTCAACCTCTAGAATCTTTTATTTAGGTACAAGTTTAATGAAAAATTTGTGTCTGCAGTTTGGCCCCAGCTGTTCCATGCTTTAATGACCTGTGAGATTGAGAGCTTGAGTGAACAACTGTTGTCATCAGTGGGGCATGGTGTGGACTCTGGTGCTGTCCCATCCACAGCAGCCTCTGCAACAGGGGTCTTTGCTTTCTACATCCTCATGTGTTTGGAAAAAAGAAATAGATGGGTCTGATTTACACAGATTGAGTTAGTTTTCTGTTCCAATACTTGCACAAATGAACATACTCCTACTGCTGTGCACTATAGAGTCTTCATTCACTTTCCTTATATGTATGAATTCTGAAACAAACTACTACATGATCACAGTCCTTTTTTTTTTTTTTAATTTCTGGAGACCTTTGCCTCATTTATTTAGAATGTGTTGCTCTCATATGAAGCTGCTGCTTGGTGTTTTGTTTGTTTTTCATAGGCACTTTATTTACCATTCAGCATGCTTTTCTTTTTGTTCAACTTTTAAAGCTTTAACAAGTGTAAGGCAATAAATAAAGACTGCTTCATTAGGTCAGACATGATAACCTGAGATTAACTGTGTTTAAAATGCTTATGTACGTGATAATTGATTAATGTATAGATCAGTTGATTACACTGGACATTTTGAGAACCCATTGTGTTTGCTTATAAAAATCTGACTAGATTTAGCCCATATTTCTATTTCAGTACAAATATCTTGAAAGAAGGAACATATAAAATAATGTGCTAAAGTATAATAAAGACTAGATTAGTAGAAGTCATTAACGTGGTATAAGGCAAGATTTTTCTGGTGAGAGTTTTCTTTTTTTTCTGGTATACTTTTTTCATAATGATATAAGATAAACTGTATTTTAAAGGACAAAGGACAGAGATCAGAATGAAGTAGGGTTAGAAATGGAACTGGAGAAACAAGCAGAGTAGCGAAGCTAAGAGGAGCCCAGATATTTTATAATCATGTATAATACAGATAAGTAATTCAGTTAATGTGTCACACATTTTAATGTCCTACAGTACCATTGTATAAAAAGAGTATCTTTTGTTATAATGTATCGCTAATATAAATATCTTAAAAGAAGCAGTAAGTTTTACACATTAATTGTCTTCTGTCAGGGATGTGACTCATATCTGAAAATGTTTTGGATTTTTACACAATCCCTTCCCATAGCTGCTGAACTTACTAAGTCTTGAGCCTTAATATTCAGCTGTGCAGTATCTTATTGCATTTCCACTTGTTACTGTAGTCTCTCACTCCTAACCTAAAGTTTTTGTTTGCTTAGCTTTCATTTAGCATCTTTTAAGGTTAAAATTACATAATAGCTTGTTACTCAATATCATTTGATAGGAGAAAAGAGAAGTGAGAAATTATTTAATTTTGACCAGAACAAACTGACAAGGGAGCACTCCCAAAGCATGTGAGTTTTATTAGTGCTGAATTACAGCTCCAGCTTTTGTTTGATTTAGTGAGATACATTTTAAATAATCAGAGTCAAGTGCATCTTAACATGATTTTCTGCTGGGTAGTCTTAGAGAGGTCCAAAGAACAATTGAGGGCTCTATGCAGAACCATCGATACATAACAGATCTAGTTTCTCATCTTTTCCTTAGGTACATATGTGTGTTCTTACATGTTTATACTTGTAAAATAAAAGGCATCATCTGTGTTTAATTTGAAATTTTAGGCAGTAGTATAGTATTTTTAGTGGGCAGTGACAATTTGAGTAACTTCAGAAGAAAATAAAACATTTCAATCGAGTTTGAAACAACATAGCCTCTGGTGTCAAAGTGTTAGAAGGCATGTTCAAGCTGCATGCTTTCACTTCCCTGCCTGGGATCTAGTTTGAACCTGCCCATCAATACGGTAAGGAGTAATGCCAGTTCAGTTCAGTGAACTAAGTGACAGTCAAAATACTTTTTCCAGCTGATCTGGTCCATGAATGGACTTACCTGTTCTGAGGTGTTCTGATGGGTACAAAGATGTTTGTTGTGAATGATCTGGGGCTCTGACAGAAACCCGTTTGCTAATATAGCTGGGGTCATTTAAGACTTACTTGTCTTAGTTATTCATGATGTACCTGAGAGGACAAATTCAGTCTCATTAGTACAGACGGTTTACTAAGACAGGTTTGTGTGAAAGCACTGGACTGTGAATTTGAGTGACTCAGGCAGGGACAATAACTCCAGTCAGAGAAATGATGAGGAAGGGCCATCCAGGAGACTGATATCACCTTAAATATCCACAGGAAGATTTACCAGAAATCCTTGACAGATCCCCATATCCCTTGTTTGCCACAGTAGTTGGTCATTTTTCTTTAGGGAATTGCTAGTGATCTGAATGCAGTTCAATGGCATGGGGTAAATGGGCAACAAATTCTACTTTTGACTGGAGCTAGTCAGTGTCTCTGCCTGGGGCTTAAGCTGTTAAACAGTCTGACTAATGATTGATGCCTGCTAATAGGACATATAGTTGGGGAGTCCAACTTCCTACCAAGAGTAAGTGTTCATCTTTAGAGGGGCATTCTGGGCTTGTTACCAAAACCCCAAGAGAAGAATTTCAACATGTCTCTGATTTTGTTAAACAAAAGTGGTGCAGAAGAGGTACAGAGAGGCCTGTGAACATGATTATTATTGTGCCTGTGCAAATCATCAGTCTTCAACAA